CCCTGCTTCTCTTCCTCCTTCCCATTAGGTTTCACAATAAAATCAGACTGCTTTTTCCAATCTAAAAAAGCCCACCTCCAACAGGCTGTACTAATCAAGGGTGGTGGGAAAAACCAGACTGAATGTAATTTTTCTAATGAAAGGCATTCTGATCTGTGGTAGTGTTTGCAGAAGGATGTTTGCTTAGTACACATGGGGAGTCAGGCAAGGAACTCGCCTAGCTTGTTTGATAATCAACTACTAAGGGGGAGAGGGAGAGAGAGAGAGAGAGATAGCAAAGAAATGGAGCCCAAAGGGGCACATGTCTAGGGATTCTAAAGCATGAAAAGATTACTAAAGTAGCTGCCAAATCTTACGGATCCCAACTCCACAAAATCTCTTGCATCACCCCACTTCCCCAACTCTACTCAGGCAGAGTCTGCCCTAATTTGGGCCCTTCTGACTCACCTAGACTGCTGCAATCAACATTAGCACCCCCCTCCAATTCACCTTCGACCCATCTGCCAAACTAGCATTCCCAACACCCAGATCTGACCGAGTTACTCAGCTCAAAAATGCCTTGATCTAGAACAAAATCCAAGCAGCCTAGCAGTTAAAGCCCCCTACCATTTGATGCTCACCTACCTTTCTAGTACTCTCTGGATTTAATTACTCTTCATTCCAATCAAGATGTGATGTCCCCTCAAATACAGCTTTCCCTCTCCCATGCTCCTGGTACACTCCCTCCTACTCCGTAACTCTTGGGATCTGTAACTTCCTTCTACACAAAGTCTTGTCGTCCTCTCTCCCCACCCTACTCCACGGTTGTTAGAGCTCCCCCTCTCAAAATTACAGAACCACAGAATTTCAGAATTGGAAAGGACCCTAATGGTCATAATACTACTAAACCCATAATACTACTAAACAATATAGCCAACAAGTGATTGTCTTGCCTTTTGTTTGAATGCCTCCAAAGAAAGGGAATCCCACTAATTTTTTCCTTACTTCAAGCCTAAATTTGCTTTTTAAAATATATTGTTTCTACTTAACCATGCACAGTAGTACGGAAAACCCTTGAGGGCAGGAATTGTTTGTCTTTGTATCCCCAGCCTGGGGACTCACACAGAATGGTACTAAAGAGATGTGTGTTGAACTTAATTAGCATAATTTCAGGAGCCATTTCTCTTTCCCCCTGCCCCCCATCATGGTTTCCTAATATATGTTCAGGATTTCTTAGGGGCAGCCCATTCTGCCACAGAGGTTGGGGACACATCAGAAAGGCTCATCTGTTAACAAACAGTCAATAAAGCAACAAGATTTTGTGAAGCACTTAGCATGCTATGCTCTGAGCCCCAAATGGTGAGGAAATGTCTGCTCGTTACAGTGTTGTTATGAGCAAGGAGTAAATTTGGATTTTAAAATGGAAAGAGGACAAGCAGTAATTTTCTCTTTAGGTGATTAAAAAGAAATACAGGAGAACACTTCTGAAAAGACTAGCCAACTTTTACAATTCCAGTCTCAAATCTTAAGTTGTTCTTTCTCTTTGCCCATTACAGTTTTCTGCTGGAAGAACTAAGCCTAATTCCTTTGCCAGAGAAAAAGGTATCCCTATGAGACATTGTTATCCTTTGCACACAAGTCTTATAATATAGTGGTACATAAATGCATTAGGGAGGAGGCATGCAAAGAGCCCTGAGAAGTAGGAGGGGAAAGGTAATGGGAAATTGTGGTGTGTATCCAAAGGCTTCCTGAAGAAGGGGGCCTTTGAGATGGGCTTTAAAGGACAGGCAGAAAAACCAAACGGCTAAGAGGATTGAGGGAGGGTATTCTGGATATATAGAAAGATTATCTAAGGGACAGACAATAGTCCAATATGGTTGCAATGGAGAGTCCATGGAGGGGAGTAATTTGAGATAAAGCTGAACTTGAAGGAGGGATGGAGGGACAGAGACAAAGAGGGAAGGGAAGGAAGGAGGGAGATGGAGGAGGGAGGTACCTACCACTAGTTTTCCTCACTGGAATCTGCAGCAGATACTACATCTATCTAATCTTTACTGATGATTCACCCAATTTGATTCAGCCAACATTAATTCAGCACCTACCTGGCAAGATGCTAGATGTACAAAGACAAACACAAAAAGCTATTGCCCCCCCCCCCAAATATCAGTTATGTGTAATGTGTCCAGCATCTAACAAAAAAGGTGGGAGAAAGTCCCAAAGTGTTGCCTATAGTAGCATGGACCTTAGGGTCACAGATGTAGAGCCGAGAGGACCTTAGTGGACATTTGAGTCCAACCTTCTCATCTTACAGAGGAGGAAACTGAGGCAGAATGACTGACACACAGCTGGTTAAATATCTGAGGTGGGATTTGAACCATGGTCTTCCTAAGTTCAAGTCTGGCAGTCTAACTGCTATATCTCTAATGCCTGCCTCTGGTCTTCCTTAAATGCTGGTGGACAACCCCTGGTACCTGAAAGCATAGGCCTTACCCTTCTTTGACTTCTCCCTTTCTGTAAGGCAAGAGAAGCAGGAATGCAAGTTTCTTAATAGCTTTCTCTTTAAGGCAGCTATGCATTTTTAGCAACACCTATCAGAGACTCAGGTAATAGAAGGAAGAAGGAACAATTTAGGGTCAGTCACATTGACTACAGGAGACAGAAAGGAATTCCAAAATAGGATACAGCATTTGCTTTCTTAGACCAGTTTAAGTAGGCATCAGACATATTGAGTCTATCAACTTTCAACAAATCTTTCAAGAGTGAGGAAAATGGGGGATCAATGATGGAGGATGATGTATGGAAGATCTCTGAACCGATGGGCAGAAAAACAAGGCAACCAAAGCTCAAAGCCAAAAAAAAGGAAAAAAAAAAAAGAACTTTCTCTATAAGAAAATACATCCAGGAATGACACAGGAGAAAAATGATAAGCTCAACCATTTTTCAAGTTACAACTTTTCTATGTTATTACAATCTGGCTTTCTAGGTTCCCTTTATGTTTGGTCTTGCCCCAAAGGAATGTAAGCTCCTTGAGGGACTGATTTTCTTGTACTTATATCTCCATAAGAAGTTAGTCATTTCCAGTAACAGATACAAATCCATAATGTAACCCATGGGCCTTAGTCCCATTCCACCAACAGGGATGAAGATACTGTTATATTTCCAAATAGCAAAGAAAAATCTTCGAAGTAAAAATGGAAGGAGGCTGCAAAGGGCTAGAGAGTAAGGAGTTAAAAGCAATATTTCCCTTTGTTTCTACTTTTGTTCTACTACTATTCCCTCAATGTTTGATAGCTTTTGTTTCTTCAAAGGAATTATTTTGTCTAGCTTTATAAAGTAAGCACTTTGCAGCTGAATTGGTAGAAGCAGTCTGTAATTTAGGTAATATAACTGTTCTTTATTATATTGGCATGGTCCAACCATGCACAATGAACATCCCTTTCATTCTTTATGTTCTCTATGTCTCCATTTCCCCCATTGAAATCTTTCATGTCCTTCAGAATCTGACTTGTCTTAACTCCAACAAATCTTCCTTGACTATTCCAGCCCTCTAGCAAACATTTATTACATTCCTTATATACACCGTATTAAGGGAAATACTTCAATTATTCAAATTTCGCTAGTGTCTACATAACTAGTAGTGTGAAGTATTCCTTCAACTATCCTCCTAACCTTTCAGCTTCCAATATTTATGCAAGCATATGCAATGGAAAAGAGAGGCAGGGCACAGTGTTGAGTGACCTGGCCTTAGAGGTCAAGTTCTGCCAGTTAAAAGTTCCACAGACCAATCACAACCTCTCAGTGGTCCTAAGCAACTAAAAACAGTGGTTGCAAGATAGCTGCTAATCTATATTGGTAGAAACTCCTTTTACTGATGAAATCACAGGTCGAGCCAACATTTTACACATACTGTACATAAAGAGACACACATATTCCTACAGTGTTCTGCTATGTACTGGAGGGAAAAAATACAATGAGTAAATAAGATATGGTCCCTGTGCTCCTGCAACTTAGTTTAGGAACTCTCTTTTCCTCTGAATTCCTACAGCATTTGATGTATCACACAATTTAACTGTTCAATTTTATTTGTTTCCTAATTTCACTTGTGCTTATTTGGCCTCACCAATTAGGTTGCAAACTGATTGAAAGCAAGAAGAATGTGTCTAAGGTGAGATATGAGCTCAAATCTTGGACTTCAAATCCAGCACTATAGGGCTGACCTTGGAGTCAAGAAGCCCTTCTCTCTCTAAGCACATATTGGCAGTGTGACCAAGGACCAGCCTTCAGGCAATTGTCTAAAACTAAGTTACAGTTAAATTGCTCAGAAAGGAGTGGAGAAGTTTCAACACTGACAAAAATCACAGATCCCCATTTTTTAAAAAGTCAATGGAGAAAACAGCAGCTCTCACACTGAAACCGGAAGACAGCATATTTCAATCATTTAGCCAATGAATAATATTCCAAACTTCCTCCTCATTTGGCCAGCAAGACAAGAAACTCAAACACAATTCTGATAGCACTGTGATAACGACCAAGAAATGACCAAGTCACTCACATGCTTTTCCTCTGAGTCAGTTAACAGGGTTTTTTTTTTTTAAGTAATACCTATAGGAATATTATCAGTTCCATTTTTATCCCTAAGAAGAAAAACTCAGTACTTTGCAAAGGTGGGTAAGGGGTGCGCTCTTAAATAATAATTTAAGACTTAGATTTAGGTCTTGTACAAGATAATGGGACAAAAAGAAATGTAGAGACGTTGGCAAGTTCAATAAATATTTGTTGGGGCGGGGATAATTTCCAAAGAGAAAAGAGAATTCCTACACACCGGTTAATTTCAACACAGGAAACCCAGCATAAATGTTAATTTCATCAAAACTCCAGCCGGAACAGGAGGGGGCCAGTCCTCTCCCAGCTCCCTCCCCCAATTCAAGGGCCGATCACTTTCCTAGGTAATCGATTCCCCATCCACCCCCGGGGCTGGGCACCGGAACAGCAGCCGCCCTCCTCCCCCACAGGCCTCTTACCTTGGCCCAAGATTCGGCCTCGCTGCAGGTGTGCCCGGGACACCTCGAAGGTATAACTTTCGGAGGCAAAGCCCGAACGGCAATGCCCAGTGTTCTCGCAATGCCATAACGACGCCTGAGAGAGGAAGAAAAGGGGTTTGGGGTGACTGGGAGCTGGAGGGGATTGCCTTCCTCCCCCGCCCCGAAACCTGCCAGCCTCGCCCTGTAGGAGTGGGAGTGAAGACTGCCGGGTCCCGGGCCCTAGCCGCTCCCTTCCCACCAGAAATCCGCACAGCCAGCTGCTCCCAGGGGACTACAAGAGTTTTGCAGAGAGGGAGAGAAGCCGAAAGTCAGCTCAGTCCAGACCAGACGTGTCATCCTTCCCAAATCAACGCGGCGTGACTCCCCTCCCTCGAAACCCGATCTCATCCATCTAGAAGCCCTGGGTCACCCTCCTTCTATCCATCTGCCCTCCTCCAAACATTCACAGGATCCCCAACTCTCACTCTTAGTAGAAGATTCCCACTCTCAGAAATGTCCCCAGCAGTCACAGATCCCATCAACCCTAAACACAGAAGAGATTTCCCCTACCCCCCATACACTGGCTCTCCTCAGTCTCATCTACCCCCTGCCCAGAACCACCCCACCCCCACTTAGTTCGACCCTCAGGGCCAGTTCAGATTTCTCTCTTAAAATTTTGGGTACCATGTACCAGCCCTCCCCCCCCCACACACACCCCGGAGAAAAGGAGGAGGGAGAGGACGGAGGGAGTTGCCGGCTCGGCGCTGGGGTTCCCTAAGCCGTGCGTTCCCTACTTGCCCCTTCGAGGGGCACTGCGCCAACTCAAGGGCGAAATTAAAGTCCATATACCCTTCGAAAGCAAACTTCAGTTCTCGAAAGAGGTCTCGGGTGCTGGAGTTAGTTCGGTGACCCGTGGGGAGGAAGAAAGGAGCAGGGGAAGTGAGGGGAGCTTAGGGGAGGTGAAGAGAGGAATCGAAAAAAGGGATGGGCGTGAGGAGGGCTGTTCTGGGGGTAAGGGGCACGGGGTGGGATGAAAGGCCGGGGTCAAACAAAGTTCTCTCCAGGGAAAGGATCAGCGTCTCCCCACACTTCTCCTTCATCCACCAGGAAATGCCCCAACCCCAGCTCGCTCCGGGGCTTTACCTGAAGCAGCAGCAGGAGAAAGGTGAGGCTGAGAGACAAATTCCGACTGGTGCGCATGGTGGTGGCGCCGGGAGTGCGGCCGCGGGTGGAGTAGTAGTAACGCGGCTGGGGTTGCGGCCCGAGCGGCGCAGCTCCTCGGAGGCGCAGGTGGGCCAAAGGTTTTCAGTCGCTCCCAGGGGCCAATACTGCGGCTACCAGCCAGAGGCCAGCCAGGTGAGCCCCGAGGGACCCGCCCCTCGGAGCTGCTGATTGGTCCGCGCGCACACCTGCGTCGGGAGGCGCCAATGAGCCAGTCAGGATTGCCTAACCCAGCCCAGACAGCACTGTCTCCCTCCTCGGCCCTGGAGTTCTGAGCCTGGACGTGGGCTGTCTACCCACCCCGGGCAACTTAATCACTCCCCTTTCTAGCCCTCGGAGCCGTGACTTCCCACGTCTAGGGCAGAAGTTGAACCTTCCGATCTTTCACCAGTGCTTGAGGTCGTCTGCTCCTTGCACCGTGGAGAGCCCGCGCAGCCCACAGCCCGACACCACCCCGAGCGGTATGTCTCATTCTGAGTGACATTGGTGGGGGAACGGCTTTCGTGTAAGAGAAATTCTCATTGCGATGGAGCCTTCTGTATCTTCTCCCTCTGCCGCATATTATCTGCTGGAAACTGGGGGTGGGTGGGTGGGGGGAATTCCAGCACGAGGACAGCTCTGATCCAGGGATCCGCTTCTTACATTGTAAGAAACTCATAGGCATCTGAGCCTTTTGGGAAATTTGTTTTGATCGTCTTTTATAGAATGGCAGATTCCCACAGGTGAAAATGTTCCTCAGAATCCAACCCCTTCTGAAGCAGGAATCCTCTCTTCAGCGTCCTTGAAAAGAGGTTTAAATGTCCGAACTTATCAAATCCCCAGGCCCCCACCCCCACCCCTCCCCAGTTTTCCTGCTCCTTCTTGCTCTCACTGATGTGGGACCTACGTCATGTCAGCACTGTGGGCTTCAGTTTCTTCCTCCGTAAAACGGGGGAAACTGGGCTAGATCCATGGTCTTCAGCCTTTCTGCCTATGAGGACCCCTTTTAAGTACAAAAGTATTTGCAGAGCACCGGTGACTGTAGTTGTACTATTAATGTCAGTTGCTCGAGAAAATGACAAAAAACCTAAACTTTCATAGCAACTTTAACGTTATTAGTAAAATAGAAATGTATTCAAAAGCTTTGCAACTGGGTCTAGATAATTCCAAAAAGCTGCATATTATTAGTTGGACTTAAATAAAAAATCCAAATCACAACGTTTGGTAGGCAAATTACATATTAGTCAAGTGCATTATTTGGAGTCAAGCCAACAAGTATTAGGCATTTATTATGTACCAGGCTCTTCCATAAAAGCTGGGAATACAAATGGGAAAAGGTTGAGAGCTTAGGGCCCTGGAACTACAATAACAAGGGAATGCAAATAGAAGCAAAAAAAGAAAAGTCCCTGCCCTCAAGGAGCTTACTTTCTAATGGAAGGAGGACTCACCTAAAAGAAAGCTACATGCTGTTGGAGGGGGGAGAGAGAAGGTAACTACTGAGAAGGAACTGTGGAAAGAGAAGTGAAGAGAGGCAGCTCAGAGGAATGAAGGAGCACTATGGCTGGCCTGAATTCTTCCTTAAAATGCAGGTTTGGGGAGGAACTAACAAATTAGAAGAAGAGAGAAAGGAATCTCCCAAGGTGAGAAGGCTGCAAGGTACAGCCACCTCCCACAGCAAGAAGGATGCTTTTGAGTGTGGTGGCTAGACATCTTCCAAGCTAAGAAGACTGCTGGTTCATGGTCAAGAAAGAAGTCCAGAGAGTCAGGGAGCAGAACTGGAGAGATTAGAGTTAAATAAAAAAAAAAACAAAAGGACAGTTTGGGGGGTATAGAGATTCCCTTATCCTTGGAAAAAACCCTTACTAGCTGGCATCCATAAGTTGGAAATCCTTGATCTAGACACTTTTTAAGCCCACTTCCAGTAATAAATCCTAAGGCCATCTTCTAAATCTGGAAGGAGCTTAATATCAGGTAATTTATACTCTTAAGTGTGAATATAATATAATTTAGAGCTGGAAAGGACAAGTCCAGCCCTCTTCCCAGTGTTCTGACCTCCCCCAGTTTTGTTCTGGACATTCCATTTGGGCAGCTGTCAGAAGCAAAGCCAGTTTTCTTAGTTATTCAGATTTTACCTCCTCTTTTAACAAGAGGAAAGAACTTTTACTTTAAAACAAAATTCAAGATCTTTGCCAACAGCAAAGCAATGCTGTTCTTGTCAACTGCACTTAACAGATGTGGCAGATTTTACTGTTGGATCTGTGCAGTGTAGACTTCAAGCAGGGCAATCGCAAAAGATATTCCCATTTCAATGCTTTTATCAACCACAGCTTTATTTTTCAGTTAACCTCCTGATGGCATGTTTGCATTTTCAGCTTGTCCTTTGTGGGATTGAAGGCTTGAAACTCTCTGAAAGAGGAAACTGGGGCAGATGGAAGAAGTTTAATATGGGGCAAACACCTATAATAATGCCCAAAATACCATGTCCTCATTAATCAATTAACAGCCATTTATTAAGCACCTACTGTGTGCCAGGTGTTGCACTAGAAGCTAGAAATAAAAATATAATGAATCAACCCCTACTCTAAAAAAAGCTTAGGTTTTATTGGAGATGGCAAGTAGATAAGTGGATGGACGGATAGCTAGGTAGGTAGATACATGGATGGGTATAGACAGATAGATGTATGTATAAACATATACATACATATATAATGTATAATATATGTGAAATGTAGACAGTTTAAGCTTAAACTTAAAACTTCACTAAGATTTTTGGAATACTGTGTATTTAAATATTTTGCATTTATTTTCTTTATATTTTTTATATATGTATATGTCTATATTATATATGTATGTCTATATCTATACACATAAGCTTTATTAAAGCTTTAAAACTGAACTGAGACTTTTGGGACATCCTGTACAGGGAGTTTGGGAGGAAAGACACTATGGGGTGGGTAAAGCCAATCAGGAAAAGCTTCACATGGAAGATGATTCTTGACCTTCATCTTGACAGAAGTAAGGGATTCTATGAGTTGGAGGTGAAGAGGAAGGGCATTCCAAGGATGGGGGTAGGTAGGTCAGTGGGAAGGTACTAAGTATGTGAGAAACAGAGAAAAAGTCAATTTGATTGAATCACAGAGTGTGACTGGGGGAGAAACATACAATAAGGCTGAAAAGATAGATTGGAGTGAGGTAAGGAAGAGCTTTAAAAAGCAAAATAGAGAAGTTTCTGTTTATCCTAGAGACATTTATCCTAGACCTCAGGGCAGATAGGTAGCACAGTGGATAGAGTACCAGTCCTGAAGTCAGGAAAGACTCTTCACGAGTTCAAATCTCACCTCAGATACTTACTACCTGGTGACCCCTAGGCAAGTCATTTAACCCTGTTTGCCTCAATTTCCTCGAAGTGGCAAACGATTCGGGTATATTTGCCAAAAAACCCAAATGGGGTCACAGAGAGTCAGGCACGACTAAACAGTAAAAAGGGCTACAAGGGCTGATGGACCAGTGACCAGACCCTGTTGTCTCCTTTTAACATGTGTGTGCCTGAAAACATGGCAGAGTGGAGAGGGAACTTGGTTTCTGATTTGCCTTGGCTTTTACTAGCCCCAGGACCTTCAGCAAGTCACTGCCTTTCAAGGCTTCCATTTCCTCGTTTGTAAGATGAGGGAGCTGGACAAAATGATCTCCAACAGTCACTTCCAACACAGAGAATCCTGGGAATGAAACTGTCCCAAGAAGGGCTAATCCCATTGTCTAAGAAACAAGCCACAAAATGGGAAAAGGGGAAATAAGATTAACCGGAGATAAGAATAGCTGACATTTATGTAGGATTTTGAGGGAACAACAAAAATAAATGTAATTTAAAAAGATTTACAGGGAAACTACATTTTGTTAGAAGGTAGTATAGACAGTGAGTTAATATCTATATTAAATATATGCCTTAAATGTCTCAGCAACCAAATTCTTAAAGGAAAATTAAATGAATTATTAGAAGAAATAAACAGTAAAAGTATAATAGTGGAGACCTCAATTTACGACTCTTAGACCTATATAAATCTAACAACAACAAAAAAGGAAGATGAAAGACCTGAATAGAGTTTTAGAAAAGTTATATGGGATAGACCTCTGGAGAATATTAAATGGCAGTAGAAACTTTTTTCTCAGCTCTGCATGGTACCTTCACAAAAAACTGATCCTGTTATTAAGGCATTAAAAACCCCACAAATAAATATAGAAAAGCAGAACTATTAAATACATCTTTTATGGACCAAAATGCAATAAAATTATATTCAATTAAGAAATAAACTGAGTCTTCTTTCCACAAAATCTATAGGGGGAAAATAAAGGCCTTGCTATGTGAATTTCTGTTTTCATTTAAGAACCTGTAAGGAGAAAAGCCGGCTGCAAACCCAGTTAAAATTGTTTACCAATTCTCCCGTTCCTCCGAACCCCATTCCCTCCTTATTAATGGATTTCACATCATGTGCTGAGGCCATTTGGGTTTATACATCTTAGCACTGGCTAAAATGGATAGATACAGTATATTTCCTTTCTTGCCAAGACTCCTGCATTAAACAAGATAATGGAAATGATGAGAGAGACTTTTCCCCCAAGGGGCTGGCTGGTCAGTTTATTTTTTTCTAGTTATATAAAAATATGTACTTTATATGATGTCTACCCACTAAGCCATCAATGCTTTCCTTTGCTCCACCTAGAAAGCCTTGAAGTTCTAATTCCTTTGTGACTTACATCAACTCTTTCCTGTACACAGATAATTCAATAAAAAGGATTTTAAAAAACAATTAGATATGAATTCTGGCAGCTTGTACTCAGTGTTCTCTTTAAAAGCAGCTGACAAGTATAACTTCTTTACATGTCAAGGAATCTGTAAGCTTAGGAGAGAGAATAATAATAGTAATAATAACAACAGTAATAAATAATAGCTAGCATTTATATAGCACTTTACAGTCAGCAGAGCTCTTTATTATCCCATTTGATTCCCACAACAACTCTATGAGCTAAGTGCTATTATTAGCCTCATTTTTACAGATGAAGAAACTGAGGCTGAGAGTTGGTGTGCCTTGCCCAGGGTTACACAGTCAAGACCAAA